CCGTTCATGTTTAACAAATTTGTTATCTTTTTATTCTAGCATTGTTGAGGCAGTTGATAGTGGTAAGGATTGCGATGTTGTATACCTTGACTTTAGCAAAGCTTTTGATACAGTGCCACATGAAAGACTGATTAAAAAAATAGAGTCTCATGGTATTGGGGGTGCTATATTAAGCTGGATTAGGGCATGGCTATACCAAAGGAAACAGAGAGTTAGTATAAATGGAATCAAGTCAGAGTGGGAAAATGTTGTAAGTGGAGTGCCTCAAGGCTCTGTCCTGGGACCTCTGTTGTTTATAATATATATAAATGATTTAGATTCAGGTTTGAGTAGCAACATTTGCAAATTTGCCGATGATACGAAAATCGGTAGGGAAATTAATTCGGAGGAGGACTCACTATCACTTCAAGTTGATCTAGATAGGGTTTTGAAATGGTCAAAGGATTGGCAGATGCAGTTTAATGCTGATAAATGTAAAGTTCTGAGGTTAGGTAATGATGATAGAGTTACAAGATACGAGCTAGATGGTGTTGTGATTGCGAAGTCGGATTGCGAAAGGGATCTGGGAGTTATGATTAGTAAGAATTTAAAACAAAAGGATCAATGCATAAATGTTCGTAATAAGGCAAATCGGACACTTGGATTTATTAATCGCAGCGTTAGTAACAAGACACCTGGTGTGGTTCTCAAGCTATATCTTGCTCTAGTTAGGCCCCATTTAGATTATGCAGTTCAGTTTTGGTCGCCATATTATAGAATGGATATAAATTCACTTGAACGTGTCCAGCGTAGGATGACTAAGTTAATTCCCCAAATTAGAAATCTTTCATATGAAGAAAGATTAACAAAGCTTAAGTTGCATTCACTGGAAAGGCGAAGAGTTAGGGGTGACATGATAGAGGTTTACAAGTGGATGAATGGACATAACCGGGGGGATATTAATAGGGTATTAAAAGTATCAACACAGGACAGAACACGAAACAATGGATATAAATTGGATAAGTTTAGATTTAGGAAAGACTTGGGTAAATACTGGTTCAGTAACAGGGTTGTTGATTTGTGGAACCAATTGCCGCGTAACATTGTGGAGGTGGGGTCCCTCGATTGTTTCAAGCACGGGTTGGACAAGTATATGAGTGGGATTGGGTGGTTATAGAATAGGAGCTGCCTCGTATGGGCCAATAGGCCTTCTGCAGTTACCTTTGTTCTTATGTTCTTATGTTCTTATGACCCCACCTCCACAATGTTACGCGGCAATTGGTTCCACAAATCAACAACCCTGTTACTGAACCAGTATTTACCCAAGTCTTTCCTAAATCTAAACTTATCCAATTAAGAACATAAGAACAAAGGCAACTGCAGAAGGCCTACTGGCCCATACGAGGCAGCTCCTATTCTATAACCACCCAATCCCACTCATATACTTGTCCAACCCGTGCTTGAAACAATCGAGGGACCCCACCTCCACAATGTTACGCGGCAATTGGTTCCACAAATCAACAACCCTGTTACTGAACCAGTATTTACCCAAGTCTTTCCTAAATCTAAACTTATCCAATTTATATCCATTGTTTCGTGTTCTGTCCTGTGTTGATACTTTTAATACCCTATTAATATCCCCCCGGTTATGTCCATTCATCCACTTGTAAACCTCTATCATGTCACCCCTAACTCTTCGCCTTTCCAGTGAATGCAACTTAAGCTTTGTTAATCTTTCTTCATATGAAAGATTTCTAATTTGGGGAATTAACTTAGTCATCCTACGCTGGACACGTTCAAGTGAATTTATATCCATTCTATAATATGGCGACCAAAACTGAACTGCATAATCTAAATGGGGCCTAACTAGAGCAAGATATAGCTTGAGAACCACACCAGGTGTCTTGTTACTAACGCTGCGATTAATAAATCCAAGTGTCCGATTTGCCTTATTACGAACATTCCAAGTGTCCGATTTGCCTTATTACGAACATCATCTTTATAGGTTAGGTTAGGTTAGGTAGCCGAAAAAGTTAGGTTAGGTTAGGTTAGGTAGGTTAGGTAGTCGAAAAAAACAATTAATTCATGAAAACTTGGCTTATTAGGCAAATCGGGCCTTGAATAGTAGGCAGAGAAGTGCGTTCTGGCTATTAGGTACGACAATATATATAATATATATATATATATATATATATATATATATATATATATATATATATATATATATATATATATATATATATATATATATATATATATATATATATATATATATATATATGTCGTACCTAGTAGCCAGAACTCACTTCTCAGCCTACTATTCAAGGCCCGATTTGCCTAATAAGCCAAGTTTTCCTGAATTAATATATTTACTATAATTTTTTTCTTATGAAATGATAAAGCAACCCTTTTCTCTATGTATGAGGTCAATTTTTTTTTATTGGAGTTAAAATTAACGTAGATATATGACCGAACCTAACCAACCCTACCTAACCTAACCTAACCTATATTTATAGGTAAGGTTAGGTTAGGTAGCCAAAAAAAGCTAGGTTAGGTTAGGTTAGGTAGGTTAGGTAGACGAAAAAAACATTAATTCATGAAAACTTGGCTTATTAGGCAAATCGGGCCTTGAATAGTAGGCTGAGAAGTGCGTTCTGGCTATTAGGTACGACATATATATATATATATATATATATATATATATATGTCGTACTAGTAGCCAGAACTCACTTTTTGGCCTACTATTCAAGGCCCGATTTGCCTAATAAGCCAAGTTTTCCTGAATTAATATATTTACCATAATTTTTTCTTATGAAATGATAAAGCTTCCCATTCATTATGTATGAGGTCAATTTTTTTTATTGGAGTTAAAATTAACGCAGATATACGACCGAACCTAACCAACCCTACCTAACCTAACCTAACCTATCTTTATATGTTAGGTTAGGTTAGGTAGCCGGAAAAGTTAGGTTAGGTTAGGTTAGGTAGGTTAGGTAGTCGAAAAAGCATTAATTCATGAAAACTTGGCTTATTAGGCAAATCGGGCCTTGCATAGTAGGCTGAGAAGTTTGTTCTGGCTATTAGGTACGACATATATATATATATATATATATATATATATATATATATGTCGTACCTAGTAGCCAGAACGCACTTCTCAGCCTACTATGCAAGGCCCAATTTGCCTAATAAGCCAAGTTTTCATGAACTAATTATTTTTCGACTACCTAACCTAACCTAAATTTTTCGGCTACCTAACCTAACCTATAAAGATAGGTTAGGTTAGGTTAGGTAGGGTTGGTTAGGTTCGGTCATATATCTACATTAATTTTAACTGCAATTAAAAAAAATTGACCTCATACATAATGAAATGGGTAGCTTTATCATTTAATAAGAAAAAAAATATAGAAAATATATAATTCAGGAAAACTTGGCTTATTAGGCAAATTGGGCCTTGCATAGTAGGCTGAGAAGTGCATTCTGGCTATTAGGTACGACATATATATATATATATATATATATATATATATATATAATATATATATATATATATATATATATATATATATATATATATATATATATATATATATATATTTAGTATATTTTGGTAGCAGTCTTTCCTGTAGACATATTTTATTAAATATGACCGAAAAAGTAAGATTAATAATTCTAACACGAATTTTCTCAATCTTTCGTACATTATGCTTCACTGTTGGAGGTAAATCAAAAATCACTTCTCCAAAATTCATTTTTATTTCTAGTCTGACGCGACACGGGCGCGTTTCGTAAAACTTATTACATTTTCAAAGACTTCACAAATACACAACTGATTAGAACTTGCGTTTCCCTGATTTTATATCTACATTGAGTGAGGTGGGAAGGGTGATGTGGCATTACATTTGAGTGAGGTGGGAAGGATGATGTGGCATTAGAGGATATTAATAGGGTATTAAAAGTATCAACACAAGACAGAACACGAAACAATGGATATTGAATAGAAGTGTTTGTAGAAAGCCTATTGGTCCATATTTCTTGATGCTTCTATATTGGAGCGGAGTCTTGAGGTGGGTAGAATATAGTTGTGCAATAATTGGCTGTTGATTGCTGGTGTTGACTTCTTGATGTGTAGTGCCTCGCAAACGTCAAGCCGCCTGCTATCGCTGTATCTATCGATGATTTCTGTGTTGTTTACTAGGATTTCTCTGGCGATGGTTTGGTTATGGGAAGAGATTATATGTTCCTTAATGGAGCCCTGTTGTTTATGCATCGTTAAACGCCTAGAAAGAGATGTTGTTGTCTTGCCTATATACTGGGTTTTTTGGAGCTTATGCCTTCAAATGCCCACTTGGGGACTGTAAGCTCCAAAAAACCCAGTATATAGGCAAGACAACAACATCTCTTTCTAGGCGTTTAACGATGCATAAACAACAGGGCTCCATTAAGGAACATATAATCTCTTCCCATAACCAAACCATCGCCAGAGAAATCCTAGTAAACAACACAGAAATCATCGATAGATACAGCGATAGCAGGCGGCTTGACGTTTGCGAGGCACTACACATCAAGAAGTCAACACCAGCAATCAACAGCCAATTATTGCACAACTATATTCTACCCACCTCAAGACTCCGCTCCAATATAGAAGCATCAAGAAATATGGACCAATAGGCTTTCTACAAACACTTCTATTCAATATCCATTGTTTCGTGTTCTGTCTTGTGTTGATACTTTTAATATATATATATATATATATATATATATATATATATATATATATATATATATATATATATATATATATATATATATATATATATATATATATATATATATATATATATATATATATATATATATATATATATATATATATATATATATATATATATATATATATATATATATATATATATATTTAATTAATGCTTATAAACACATATATAAATATTCATGTGTTTGATAACAAAATGAAATAAATTTAAGATGTTTATCTTACAGGAACTGAAAACGTGACTCACCTTGAGAACTTGTCTGGGAAGAGCGGGAGGCTGGAGGTGAGAGCGAGGCCTCGCTGGGGCGTCCAGGAGGCTACCCACAATGGCTGGGTCCCGCGGGGACTGAACGGCAACTGAACATACACGTTGCACCTGTTGAGAGGAGGTTTTGTAGCCCCTCCATGAATATGTGTATACCACTTTATAGAGACCAAAATGCAGAAGAAAAGTCCGACATTACCTTATGCTGGCGATGTCGTCGTCGTCGTGGATGATCAGCAACATGGCATTCATCTTGGAGAAGGCGGTGTAGTGGTGGTGCAGGTGGTGGAGGGAGAGGCGGGTGACGACCAGGAGCCTCGTCGACCACACCAGGAGGCGGCCCTTGAGGGACCACTTGACGAAGGTGGCGAGGAAGGCGAGGTCGTCGCTTATCACAACAACTGTCGGGTATGATGACCGCTGCCGCAACTGCCGCAGTATTGTCAGAGTAGCCACACATAATGGGATTTGCTACTCACATTACCGTGCAATGTGAGATGCCTAGCAATTTATACACAAAATTTTAAGAAATTAATATATATGTAAGAAGGTATATCATATCCTAAGAATATATAGAACTATCCTCAATGAATGGGTAAAAATAAGGAGAGTCCATGAAGAAAATAGCTTTCGTTGCAGTACTCTCAATAGATAGAAAATGCGAATTTATCCCTGATGAAGTAAAAAAAGAAATATTTCGAAATATTTAAACAAGTATTTTGGTAATAAACATTAAAAAAATTAGATTGTGAAATTTGCGTAAAAGTTGTTCTTAAAATTAAATTTGTTGTGAGTAGATGAAGAGGACGATCATACTCTTGGTCTGGGTAGATGAAGAGGACGATCATACTCTTGGTCTGGGTAGATGAAGAAAACGATCATACTCTAGGTCTGGGTAGATGAAGAGGACGATCATACTCTTGGTCTGGGTAGATGAAGAGGACGATCGTACTCTAGGTCTGGGTAGATGAAGAGGACGATCATACTCTAGGTCTGGGTAGATGAAGAGGACGATCATACTCTAGGTCTGGGTAGATGAAGAGGACAATCATACTCTAGGTCTGGGTAGATGAAGAGGACGATCATACTCTAGGTCTGGGTAGATGAAGAGGATCCGTTATATATGTCAAAGCTTCAGTGCATTCAGTAAAAGGACGAATATCCGTGATTTTTTCTAATGTAATCAACATATTATCATGTAAGATTTGGAAACCAGTACAGGTCTATGGCAACCCTTCTGTTAAAAATTTACAACAGTAAATTAGACATATACAACAGAATTAAATTACAACATAAAAGCCAGACATTTTGTTAATTAGCATTCCAATAGTATGGTGAGAGTCGAAAAACTGCGTAAATGACTGCTAGTTTTATCTAGTCAAGACCTCAGGTTACAAAAATAAAATTAGAGAAAATTCACGTTCCGCAGCCTGGATTCAGCTGCTTGCTCTATGACCAATTCAATTACCTGTACCAGTTTTTGAAGAGCTTCTGAGTGCAAAGCATGGTGTAAAACTAACGTCATATCGTTTCGGGTACAAGGATCATTTACAATAATTTAGAGTTGACAATGCATGCGTTTATTGTCATGGCCTGTCAGGCTTCTTAAAATGCAGTAAGTGTGACGCTATATAACCCAAATTAGTGCCGAGTGTTTTTTAGATAGTACTCAGTACACATTGGATTCAGAAAAACTGGCAGGTTATAACAGGCCTGAATATCGGAGAACCAAATATAAAAACCAAACACTAGTAAATCGGAGGAAAATAATGTTTTATCTTGTCCATCACACTGGGTATAATGAGGCAGTATGATAATATTTCGTGCGTAGAAGGTGACTGTTTTAAATACATATGCACAACATTTCCTACCATTAGTTATAATCAACACCTGATGTGTTTGACGTTATACCATTAATTTTAAGTGATTAATTACACACAATCGATTCAAAATGTTTAATTTAATTTGCATTGTCGGTTAATATATCTGTTATAACTACCACACGTTTTGTTGTTCACATAGGACTAACAAAACTGCCATGTTTCCAGTCCTTCAAACAGAAATGCATCATTATCATCGCAATTATCTAAATGTTAACTATTGTTGTTCAATAACAAACAAATATCCTCATCCGTAATGAGCCGGAACAATTGTGGGGAACCTGCTAGTGAGAACATTTTGCAAGATATATTTTCATTTTGATTGTGCAAGTACTAATGAGAGAGATAAACAAATTATCTTGAGCATTAATCGTCAGAGCCACCTTGCGATAATACTTGATAACCATTCTTCATCGACACAATTTATGTTGAAACATACATTAAGTTAGTTACACTGTGGTCCTGCATACCTTGATACATCATTTCTGGACGACTTGGACAAACTGGAGGAATGGTCTAAAAATGGCTGCTAAAGTTCATCTCAGGAAAGTGTAAAGTAATGAAATTAGGCGAAGGGAGCAGAAGGCTGAACACAAGGTTCCTTCTGGGAGGTGAAATCCTGCAAGAGTCAAATAAAGAGAAAGATCTGGGGGGTCGATAGCACACCAAAGCTGTCCCCAGAGGCACACGTCAAAAGGATATCATCAGCGGCATATGGTAGACTGGCCAATATAAGAACTGCCTTTAGAAACTTGTGGAAGGAATCGTTCAGGACCCTGTATACCACTTATGTAAGACCAATCCTGGAGTATGTAGCTCCAGCCTGGAGTTCATACCTAGTTAAACACAACACGAAGTTAGAGAAGATTCAGAGGTATGCCGCCAGACTGGTCCCGGAACTGAGAGGAATGAATTACGAGGAGAGGTTAAGGAAGCTGAACCTCACAACCCTGGAAAACAGAAGAGTAAGGGGAGACATGATAGCCACCTACAAAATTCTCAGGGGAATTGACAGGGTGGACAAAGACAAACTCTTTAGCACGGGTTGAACACAAACAAGGGGACACAGGTGGAAACTTAGTACCCAGATGAGCCACAGAGACGTTAGAAAGAATTTTTTCAGTGTCAGGGTAGTTAACAAATGGAATGCATTAAGTAGTGTTGTGGTGGAGGCTGACTCCATACACAGTTTCAAATATAGATATGATAGAGCCCAATAGGCTCAGGAATCTGTACACCAGTTGATTGACAGTTGAGAGGCCGGACCAAAGAGCCAGAGCTCAATCCCCGCAAACACAACTAGGTGAGTACAACTAAGTGAGTACATCAACTGACGAATATCGTAGAATACAGATTAATGTTGAGGTAACATGACACTTACCAGCTTGACAGCAGGAATCACCCGTGAGAGATAGATTTCCAAGTCCGAGCTGTTCAGTGTTGTTGTGAATACTCCAAAGCCTCCTGGTATCTGTAGGCGCTCTATTATCTGGAACAGGTAAGCCACAAGTAAGGCACAATATCATACACTGGTAATTAATGTTGCCTTAGGATTCTTGACCTTTCAAGATCATAATTACTTCAGCCAGGTGTATTTCGCATGACAGTTGGTTAGGTTTGGTATTGGACGTCAGCCTGTCAACTGTGGGTGGGTTATTATGGCCACTGAACTAGTTCTGAGCATTGTTTAGAAGTGAAGTTGAGTACATATATACCCAGATCCGGGTAACACCTGTCACGCTACCTGGTTGACCTTCACTCTCAGCTACCTATGACAGGACATTACGCTAAAGGGCCTTTTTTAACTTAGACATGAGGCCATATTAACTAAGGAACCTGAAAACTAAAGAAGTGAACAAGGAAGAATAAGCCTGTGTCTACAGAAAGGTTACAGCCAAACAAAAGATTACGTATTAGGTGTAAGTGAGTGTGTCCAGCAACATGGGGGTTCTACGAGTACGTGAGACTGGTCAGAGAAAGGCTTACTAGGTGAGTAGTGTCGAAGGTATACAAGCTATTCGGGAGCTTTCCTTTCCCATCCTTTTCCATTTTTGTGAAGAGAAAAAAAAAAGTTTCTTGTATACGTACAATATGTTCAGGTATGACCTGCCTAATTCACAGCACTCGAGAAAATGGTTCTCTATAAGGAAGGTCCTCCGGGATATACATCTTGTTCGTCATCTAGCAGGTGGCTCAAGTCACATGGTATACGGAGACCTGCTTGGTGCTGCTGGAGAGGACAACTTGAAGCGTTATAGTGCTGGCAGGTGATAAGAACGTGTTTGATGAAAATGGTTTTGCAGTTCAGACACATGGCAGGAGCTGGCGTGCGGTGTAGGGATGGAGGTGCCGTAGGAGCCGTCCAGTCGGTGACAGTGCTAGTAAGGCAGAGCCAGGCTGGTCCACTGAATTTGTCACAAAAGTTGTGAAGTCTTCCCATAGGAAAGCAGTGGCCCCAAGCTCCTGGAGAAGCAACGTGACTCCACCGAGCTCCTAGGCCGACTTAACTAAGGTATCTGTCAGGTCATTACCGCGAATGTTGCAGTGACCAGGTACCCAAATCAAGGTTATGACTTTATCTGCTAACTCCAGCTTATTAGTGCCCCGAAATTCAGGAGAATCGATATCAAAGCTGCCGGGAGATGACAGGGGAGCATAATATATGGCTCTGTCTATTGCAAACAACTCTGTGGAAGACACCAGTCCGGTCTCCTGTTTAGAGAGTACTGACAGTAACGATGTGGACCATCGTACATATATTGACGTAATGAACAATTAGAAAAACAGAATTTGGTACTAATGAATTTGGGCAACCCGGAAATGGTTTTGTATCTAAGTTGCTAATAAAACCTAACCATACTTAACCTGATTATCCTAGGACTAGTACACGATATATGAGGCCTAATATAGTACAAATGTCCTATACTGGGCCTAGGAATATTTTAGTTTCCCGAACACTTTTAAATCAGTAGTACCAAATTCGACTATCTAATTGTAAATTACCTTGGAATATGTTCATTGGTCCACAAAGATACACAAAATACTATATAAACAGGAAGATGGGTTGCGACAAATAATGTATGCAAAGGCAAACGAATCTTAAGGGAACATTCACTCATCCACCACATTCAATACACTCAGGAATCTGTACACCGGTTTACAGACAGTCGAGAGGTGGGAACAAAAAGCAAGCGTTAGACACCCACAAGCTTAACTACGAGAGTACAACTAATTGAGTGTAGAAACACATACACATTCACTCGACCATACAGAAGCACATACACATTCACTCGACCATACACAAGCAGCTACACATTCACTCGACCATACACAAGCAGCTACACATTCACTCGACCATACAGAAGCACCTACTCATTCACTCGACCATACAGAAGCAGCTACACATTCACTCGACCATACTTAAGCACCTACACATTCACTCGACCATACAAAAGCAGCTACACATTCACTCGACCAAACAGAAGCACATACACATTCACTCGACCATACAGAAGCACCTACTCATTCACTCGACCATACAGAAGCAGCTACTCATTCACTCGACCATACACAAGCAGCTACACATTCACTCGACCATACAGAAGTACCTACTCATTCACTCGACCATACAGAAGCAGCTACTCATTCACTCGACCATACACAAGCAGCTACACATTCACTCGACCATACAGAAGCACCTACTCATTCACTCGACCATACAGAAGCAGCTACACATTCACTCGACCATACTGAAGCACCTACACATTCACTCGACCATACATAAGCACATACACATTCACTCGACCATACAGAAGCACCGACACATTCATTCGACCATACAGAAGCACCTACACATTCACTCGACCATACAGAAGCAGCTACACATTAACTCGACCATACAGAAGCACCGACACATTCATTCGACCATACAGAAGCAGCTACACATTCATTCGACCATACAGAAGCACCTACACATTCACTCGACCATACAGAAGCCGTTACACATTCACTCGACCATACAGAAGTAGCTACACATTCACTCGACCATACAAAAGCACCTACACATTCACTCGACCATACAGAAGCACATACACATTCATTCGAGCATACAGAAGCACCTACACATTCACTCGACCATTTAGAAGCACCTACAGATTCACTCGACCATATAGAAGCACCTACACATTCACTCGACCATACAAAAGTACCTACACATTCACTCGACCATACAGAAGCACCTACATATTAACTCGACCATATAGAATCACATACACATTCACTCGACCATACAGAAGCACCTACACATTCACCCGACCATACAGAAGCACCGACATATTCACTCGTCTTGGTACCCATAAAAGTGTGATGTAATGTCGATGAAGCGTTGATGGACCTCGTCTTCGGACGCGAATATTTTCCCGACTGACCGGACTGGCCGGCAAGATGTGCATACATAAATATGAGCGGGTCTCTGGGTGCTAACCTGTTTATTACCACCTTATCCACCTCCGTGACGGTGCTACCAGCTTGAGTAGGGATGAAGTGGAGCCTAACTGCCAGGGGAGGTAACTTGCAACAGGAGTTATAAGTTTCGTTTTTAGGTTCCATTCCTGTGTTATCTCAGACTCTGCGGTGACATTGGCAGGGTAGATAGCATTGTCTGCAGCCGTGAGTCCAGCATCGAACCAGGAGCTGCTACTGAAGTAGTGATCAATGATTACAATGCAGGCTCGGTGGGAAATACAGGTTTTCCCAGACTGTCAGACGACTATACCGAAGAGTCTGGTAGTTGTGGAGGAAACGGAAGGGAGGTACAGTTGCCTCAACTTCAAGTCTCTCTACTCTGGTACAGCAGAAGACTCCAAAATACACACACACGCAAACAAACATTCTATATCACGTTCAACTGCTTCAGGGCAGCTTATCTCGCCAATAAATGCGCCTATACGCCGCAGTCTAATTTAGATCTAACCAAGGCCTTATACACCACTAATAAAGATTTCCTGTCGGCTCCCAAAGAAGTTCCAATTAAGCACTGCAGAACATTATGGGACCGACTGCATTTAATAACTAAATACTCTATTTAGTAAACATCGCACATTGAACATTGCACACTGGGAGAGGCATACCACCACAATGCACCGGCATCGGCGTATAGAGAGTATTTTAGGTTTCTGTAAACGAAAACAGGAGACAGAAAATCATTAATCATAACGTGAAACAAAGTTGGACTCACACCCCGGCCCTGAGGCACCCCATTTCCCTGGAAAAATGTATCCTAGTTGAAATTAGGTTGGTAAAGAAGATCAGAAAGTTCTGTCAGTTAGAAAATGAACCACAATAATTGGTAAAGGTCTCTTAAACCATAAGTGAGAAATTTAGGCAGTATTCCCGGTCGCCTGGTCATATCACAGGCTTTTTCAGTGTCGAGAAATGTAGGAAGAAAAGTGTGTTGGAGGTTGAAAGCTTGCAGAGTATCATTAAGCAGGTTCACTAAATAGTCTAGTGTGCCTTTTCGAGTGCGGGAGCCACACTACGACTATTTAAGAAGTCCCTTGCCTCTAGAAAAAATAAGCCGATCAGGCTTTTGTGAGATCGGAACAACGTGCAAGATGCGCAAAGAGTTGGGGGAGAGGCAGTCGTCCAAATCTCGTGAGCACCTCTAGTAACCTAGCAAGGTTTGACTGACTAAGGCGGTTCAGCATGCGGTAAGTCACACCACGGGGCCCGGGAATCTTTCTTGCCTTTACAGGATTTTAGTGGAAGACATTCAGTCATAGTTAAGAGGTTATTATATCCTGGCGGAGAAGCTTTTGTACCAAAGTCACATCTCGGCTGCAGCTTTATGAAGTTTCAAATCTGGATGATAATTAGCTGATCTACTCGTGTGACGACTCTCCTGGCGAGGGTATTGGCTATGTCCAGAGAGGAATCAATAGTGGTTCCACCAGATTAGGTCATGGATAGGGATACTGGATTGCATTTGATTTTGTCTGTTAATGTCTGACTTGACGTGTATGAGATGAGAGTCATTATTGAACCCTGAAACATAGCTCATTGCTATGACGGATTTATTTTTTTTATTTATTTATTTTTTATTAAATCCGACGACGGATTTATTTTTCTGCAACGACTGTAACTGTATGCAACATCAACAATCCCACTGGTGGTCGCTCTGCAAGGTATCAAGTGGCAAAAAATATATGGGAGAACAGCCGCAAAAATTCGATGTATATGAAAATGGAGAATGAGTGCACACCATAACAGTCCACAGAATAATGTAGAGGTGTCTCCCGTCACTCGGTCGTCAGCCTCGCTAAAGTGCATAAAAACTATTCTAGAGAAATAACTACAAGGGGGTTCTCATGGCAAAAGTTTTGTTTTTGAGTGTTAGTAGTTAATGGAGTCTCGATACTTTGAGTAGGTTCCAAGTGGAATAATTGTGGCGGCTGTACACTGGGAAATGCTGACGAAAAGACACTGGTACTA